GTAACTTTTCTATCTAAGTCGCCCCACAATAACTTGATTAGATTTAAATTAGGCAACCGAGGAGGCCGTAATATATTTTGGTTCTCTTTGTTTTTCTTTGGCTGCGATATACTTTCGAAACATGTTAAGGATCTTTATCCTATTGAAAACAAATCTGCGTTCCTCAATTCTTTTTCCATACAGAAATGTTGTGGTATTATTTTTTAATCCATAATGGCTTATATTTGCACGAGGTCACCAACTTTTTTTCAGGCCATGACTGACCATCCACTATGTTTGACTGTAACGATCACACATTGTTTTATCATGCATTCTCCAAATAATTGACAAAAATAATGCCAATGATTTTTTGCGAAAATTTTGAATTTTGATTTATCTATGAACAAAACTTGTGACCAATTGTTAAATTGTCGAACCTTTATGTATTTATTCCCGTTTCAATCTTTTAATTTTATTTAGTTTGCGTAGTAATGGTTTATGGAAGGAACACAACTTTTCAAGCCGTAATTGTGAAGACATTGTTTTACAATTGAAACAGATACTGTTTTTTCCCGCATGGAATTAAGTTCTTCGCAAATTTCAGGAGCAGTTAGAGCACGATTTCTTTTACTTACAACACAAATAAATTTGTCTTCGTGATACAGTATTGCTCCAAGTCTCCCTAAGCGATGATTATAGCCAGTCTCATGCTTTCTTTGCAATGCTCTCCTAAATGCAAAATGTTCAAATTGCTTTAAAAACCAACGTTTCTCTTTTTTTGTAAAACATTAGTTTTAAAATAACAGCTTATTTTACATTTATTTCTGTCTTTTTTACCCAATTTTATTCAATTAAAACATGATATATATATATATATATACCTTTTAAATTTTAACAATAGGACAAAGATCTTTAAACTTATGTTATGTCAACGTGCATAACAATTATTCTACATACGTTACAACATTTAACACAAGCAATCGATTATTTTTCTGTATAAAAATACTATAAAACACGACATTGAAAAAAAGGTTAATTAAGTTATTAAAACATCAAAATACTATCAATTATAACAGGTAAATATATCCTTAGTATTCATTATTGTATTATTGATAAACATATACTTTAAGTTAACAGATAGGTGTGTAAATCTATATGATCCAAATGCCGAAATAAATGCCTAAAATTAATGTACCTCTAGTTTTGAATGGAAGGAGTTTTAAGGGTCGAAGAAAATTACGTAGTTTGTATTAGGGTTGTTCGCCGAAAAACAAAACTTGCGAAAATTTCGCATCTTTATCTACCGTAATAGAATTGTTATTACGGAAGTTGCACATGCGAAAATGCACATTCCGTAACGCGCTATACGAAATATAAATAAATAAAATTCCGTAATAAGGCATTGCGAAAGATAACTTGCGAAACAAATCATTTCGTAAGAATACTTACGAAATAGTTCCTTACGGAAAAAGCATTCCGAGATGTGTAGTTACGAAAAAGACGCAAAAGATTTTATGTTACGATATATTTAAGATATTAACTGTTAACAGTTTAAATAATAAATAATAAAATTATAAAAAAAAGTTGTCAAATGATTCTTCAAATGTTTATACAAATATACCTAATATATATATATATATATATATATATATATATATATATATATATATATATATATATATATATATATATATATATATATATATATATATATATATATATATATACATTAACGGGATTTTACTGTATATATATGTGTATATATATATATATATATATATATACATATATATATATATATATACATTAACGGGATTATACTGTATATATATGTATATATATATATATATATATATATATATATATATATATATATATATATATATATATATATATATATATAAATATATACTTATATATTTTATATAAGTATATATTTATATATATATAAAAGATTTTATGTTACGATATATTTAAGATATTAACTGTTAACAGTTTAAATAATAAATAATAAAATTATAAAAAAAAGTTGTCAAATGATTCTTCAAATGTTTATACAAATATACCTAATATATATATATATATATATATATATATATATATATATATATATATATATATATATATATATATATATATATATACATACATTAACGGGATTTTACTGTATATATATGTATATATATATATATATATATATATATATATATATATATATATATATATATATATATATATATATATACATTAACGGGATTATACTGTATATATATGTATATATATATATATATATATATATATATATATATATATATATATATATATAAATATATACTTATATATACAGTAAAATCCCGTTAAATTGGACTTTCAATGAATAGATAAACAGTATGCCCTTCTTTTTAAAAAGTATAAAGAGGATGTGTGATAAACAATTAAATACTTTATTATAAAGAACGAGAGATCTCTCTAAAGGTAAATGATATCAGAGAGAGTAAAAAGAGAAGAAATATATGTGAAACAGCGGGATGTGAACCTGGGTCTACGCGGCCAAATGTCTTAACTGAATGAGCTATACGTTCATTCAACTAAGAGAATAGTAATATTTATTTAATATATAATTTGAAACTATATAAAACAGAATTTACAGAAAGAGATACGTATGCAAATAGGATTCTATATATCAGGAAAATGAATAGTAATGTGAACCTTTAGATGCTTATAATTAATATCTGGACTCAAAAACTAGTTACTTTTAATGGAACACAATAGGCTGTAGGAGCCTCAGGGAAATTATATTCAGAAATGGTTATATTAGACTCAGAGTTAGCTAGAAATTATTACAAAGTATTTAGGACAGATGTCTAGTACAAAAAGCAAAAGATTTAAAGCAAAATGAATTATATTATTTGAAAAAATTGTTTTACGTACATTTCATCATAATTTAAGTAGAACTTAGTAAAGCAAGGGAAACGTGTTGAATTAAGCACAATCAATCTTAAAAGAATAACTAACAGAAGAGAGGTTGTCACTATTGTGAAGGCGACGAAAGATCTGTAATATAGAACATGAAGGTCAAAAAATGCTATCTTAAGTAAAAAGAGTTTGATGAACAAAAGTTACAATGGCTGCGGGATGCGAACCCGGATCTCTGCGGCGAATTATCACGTATCTAACTGATTGAACTATACAATCTTATACTCAAATTTATATCTTATTAAAATTAAAAAACAAAATTTTCTATGATCTATACTTTGAAAAGCGTATTCAAACAGGACTCTACATACCTTTAAAATCTGCTAGAATTTTAGTAACGTGCACACTTTTAGAAATTATTGAAATAGGTATATTTTATCAGAAATATGCTTAAGCTAAAGCATATTTTTGAGCCTCTTTTTACTATTTGCTTAAGCATATTCGAACCTGTTTCAAAAATTTCATATGCTTGAAAAAAAAACATGTATATTCCTACCCATCATTCTTATTTTTAATATACGTAATGAGTTCAAAAAACATCGTTGTATATATTTATTATGGCACGTTTCGTAAGTTTATTTCCGTTAAGAATTCTTTCGTATGTTGTGATCCGAAATACTTTCGTTTCAAAAGAAATTTTATTTTTTATCAATATTTCTAAAAATAAAACCGTAAAAACTTAATAAGTTATTTTACTGAAAATAAAAATTCATCATAAACATTTTGGGATTTAAAGATGTTAATTTTTACAATTAAAATCAGTCTGGCAAACAAATTTTCTTTATAGACTTCAAAACGTCGTTTGGCAAAAATGTTTGTTTCGCAAGTGCGACTTCCGAAACCGCTACTTTCGTATGTTGCAAAATAGTTTTATTTTGTATGTCAACTTGCGAAATGCTAAATTTCGGAAGTGGCTTTTGCAAAATGAACATCGGCGATTTTAAATGTTTTGTAACATTCGGTACGAAAAAATGTAATTCCGTGTTCTCAATCTCCTTACGAAAGAATGTTGTTTTTCCGGAATTGCACGAAATCCTCCGGTTAACAACCCTAGTTTGTATATATATATATATATATATATATATATATATATATATATATATATATATATATATATATATATATATATATATATATATATATATATATATATATATATATATATATATATATATATATATATATATATATATATATATATATATACATACAAACTAGGGTTGTTAACCGGAGGATTTCGTGCAATTCCGGAAAAACAACATTCTTTCGTAAGGAGATTGAGAACACGGAATTACATTTTTTCGTACCGAATGTTACAAAACATTTATATATATATATATATATATATATATATATATATTTTATATATATATATATATATATATAAAATATATATATATATATATATATATATATATATATATATATATATATATATATATATATATATATATATATATATATACATACAAACTAGGGTTGTTAACCGGAGGATTTCGTGCAATTCCGGAAAAACAACATTCTTTCGTAAGGAGATTGAGAACACGGAATTACATTTTTTCGTACCGAATGTTACAAAACATTTAAAATCGCCGATGTTCATTTTGCAAAAGCCACTTCCGAAATTTAGCATTTCGCAAGTTGACAGGAAAAACACAGTAATTATAAAAATATCCACTTTGCACTCTTTTTATATATTTTATAACAGCATCTTAAATTTTTTTTAGAGAAAAGTTATTTGGTTCAAGGAAGAGCAACACCATATAATTAAGTCTGTTCATGATGGTAATGATATTTCTAATGAGGCTAACGCATTATCTGAATTGATGTTGAATTAATGTTGAATTGATGTTGAATTGTTGTTGAATTGATGCCACATAGGCATCAATTCAACAACAGAGCATATTAAAAAGAGATTTTTTTGGTTTGGTATGATAAAAGACATTACAGCCTATGTTTCAGAATGTGATAATTGTCAAAAAGCAAAAAACAAGAAACTTTAAGTTAAACCATTGTTACAAAGCATATCGATTCCAAAAGGTAACATGAAACAGGTTGGGATTGATTTGACTCAACTCCCAGAAGTAAATGGATATAAATACCTGATAGTACTAGTTGATTATTTCAGAAAATGGGTAGAAGCTGAACCTCTTTTTGATAAAACAGCAAAATCTGTTGCAATATTCCTGTATAAACAAATATGTAGACACGGGTGTTTTGAAATACAGATTAACGATCAAGGCCGTGAATTTGTAAATGAGCTTTCAAATGAACTTCACAGAAAAACTGGGACTCGCCAACGCATGACGAGTGCATACCATCCACAAGCAAACGGTTTAGTAGAACGTCAAAATCAGTCAATAAAACGAACATTGGTAAAGGTGCTAGAAGATGCTGCTCTTGAATGGCCATTTATTATTGACGGTGTTTTATTTTCAATGCGAATTAGAAAACACAAATCAACTGGATTTTCACCCTTTGAATTACTTTATCAAAGAGAACCTGTTCTGCCGATTGATATAGATCAGAACCTAATTGACTATAATGATAATGCTACTCTGATTGAAGACGATTCCCAAAACAAAAAAGCAATTTTGGAAACATTCAATAAAATGAATGAAATGAAGAAGTGTATTTTCGATGAAGCTTACGAAAACATCCAAAAGTCACAAGTAAGGCAAAAACGCGACTATGACAAAAGAGTTAACCCAAAGAATAGTATTGCTATAGGAGCAAAGGTTTTATTGCGAAATCATAAACGTGATGACAGAAAAGGTGGAAAACTTGTTAAGCCATGGATAGGACCATACACGGTAACTATATATTAATAATAAGTACTAATAACTGTAGTTTAAAAAATGAAAAAAATGTAATATTGAAAAAAAAGTACAATCTAGCAAGTTTGTCCTTGTACAAAGAAAAAACACTTAGTAATGGAAGCATTCAAATAGAAGAAGTTAACAAATTATCAAATGATAATGATATCAAAATTGAACCAGTTATCAAAGACGTTGAATGAAGCAAGTCATATATAAATACTCAACACGAAAGCTGTGCAAATGTTTTAGACAAAGAAATAGCAAAGTGTGCAACTTTTGATATGAGAAAATTAATTGCAGAAAAGTTTGAAATTGTTTGGAAACACAATGTCGCCGTAGGAAACATAAACCTAACTCTTTGTCCTCAGGGACTCCATAGAATTAAAGGAGATGGAAACTGCTTTTTTAGAGCAGTTTCTTTTATTATAACAGGAAGTGAGGATGAGCATAAGCAAATTAGAGACAAGGTTGTTAACCATATGTGTAACCAAAAACATGATGAAATGACTGGATATTTGAGTATGCCAATTCAAACGCATATTTGTAAAACTAGGATGCTTGAAGATGCGACATGGGCAACTGATGCGGAGATAATTGGATGTGCTTCATTTATGGAAGTAGATATTCAAGTATACAGCAAATATGGAGAGAAAACAAAATGGATGATCTACCCATGCAATTTACGGCTTAATAAGTTAAGTGACTATTCTATATTTTTAGACAATTCAACTGGGTTCCACTTTGATGTTGTGATTAATAGTTGAAAATCTAGTCCATATACATTTGTATTTCTTTTACGAGTTTTAAATAATGCTGTTTAATTTCAATTATTGTATTTTCTTTTCTTGTACTATGTAAGTTTATATATTAAAAACAGCAATTTGTTTGAAAACGGAAGTAATATAGTTAGGCTGTCTAAATAAAAAAAAGATTTTAATAAAATTACGTGGTGCAAATTTAAAATTGTTTTACATTACATATTGTCTTACAAATCGTTATCTGAAAATTGCCCCTCCCCTATTTTCGAACACAAAAAAATTTATTTCATTTCGCAATGGTGTTTGAATCTGCTGCTACACCTTTCAAAAATAAATTTGAAAATTTTCTTTAACATTACCTTCATAAAAACACATTTAAAAAAATCTATAAAGTGAAGTCCTTTTCTAAAAACCTCCCCACCTCCCTTCTCTCATCCTTTTTATCTCCAACCCCTCCTCCAACCCTATTTGGACGACGTCTTCTATTGATGATCCCTTACTACATGATCTGGATCGGCTCTTGTTTTTTCATTTAAACACTACAATATTTTAAAATAATGTTCATATTAAACGGAATCGTTTTTTTATTGCTATTTAAAAAACAACTGTCTTTCAAACATTAAAAATAAAAATTCAAAATACAACAAAGTCGCAAAACACATTTTGCCGCGTAATATTATGGGAGTAAAAATCTCATAGGGGGAGTAAAAATTTAATTTAAGATTTTTACTGGGGAGTAAAAATTTAATAAGCGGTTTTTACTGGGGAGTAAACATTTAATATGATATTTTTACTGGGGAGTAAAAAAAAGCGGGAGTAATAATCTCATACTACACCGGCCTTTAAAAAAAAAGAGTATTAAAAATGTCTCCTAGTGCATTTGTAAACCTTTATAATTTGAAGCTCACAAGAGCTTCATGATAAGATCGAGAAGTCTTTCAAATAATATATACAATCTAAATTTACCTTGTATATATTTTTCAGCTAAAAATAAAAAAAAACAAAAAAAATTATTCCATTATTTAATAAAAAATTTAGCGAGATGCCATAATATAACTGTTCGGAATATAAAACTTAATAAATATATTTTTATGCTATCTATCTCTATGCACATAAGAGTTTTGTTTCAACTTTTTTTTTTGATGTTTGACATTGACCTTTTTTAGATTCAAAAATTGACTATTTAAGTTTTAAAAAGTTTTCAGTTTGTTGTTTTTTGTTTGTTTTTTTTTTTGCTATTTTTAACTTGCAGTTATTTTTGTTATTTTGATAAATTTTTTTGATAAAGTTTATCAAAAAATCGTTTCCAAACTTGTTCTCGCTTTCAATTAAAGGAAACTATAATTTTATTTTTAATTTTTTGTTATTTATTATTTTTAATTACTTAGGTGCTCTAATACGTCCTAACGGTCTTATCAAAAAGCACTGCGAAACAGGAAGTTCACGTCTCCTTTCTTACCAATAACACATATATGGCCAGAACCACCATCGAACAAAGGAGTTCTAGTTCTGAAGCCAAAACTCTAACCACTACACCACGATTGCATAAATAGTTATTTAATTATTATTAAAGCTAAAAACTTGTATATTTTAACTTTACCAATTTATCATCAAAATTTACCCGCAAAATGGTAAAGTATATTACTATTACACTGGTAAAATATATAATTACCGAGAGACTGGTAAACTATATTTACAGACATATTATTAAAATATATTTAGCGGTCTACTGGTAATTTATATTTACCGGTAAATTGATAAAATATAACTACCAGTAAACTTGTAAAATAAAATGGCGAAAATTCAGGAGTCGTATTCTTTTCCCGGATTAAATTTTTTTGTTGCATTAGTTAATCATGTTCATAAGTTACTTCATTTAATCGCATTAATTAATAAAGTTAATCAATTAATCATAACTATGTTAATAGTCATAGAGGCCATTTACCTAGTAAATGCTAATAAATATTTTGTCTAGCTACTTTTAGTTTGGATTCTTTATTTTCCTTTTTTAGTCTCCTTTATAAAGAGTACCTCCTTTATTATAGATTATTAGGTGGTCATCAGTTACATTAGAGGTACCATAGCTGTCTGAATCGTGCTTTCTTAATTTTGACCTGCTTTCTATAGATCTGCGTCAAAGTACTTTTGTATGTAAACTCTCTGCCTTAAACCCTCAATAAACCCAACTCTGTAATGCAAAAATCCATCTTAATTACAAAGAAGGTTTTTGAAAACTGTTTGGGTTTTATAAAGTTTTGTAATTTGCTGCAGAATGCAGACTAGAATACTTTTAAGAGTACTAATTATTTTATTCCTACTCATCTGGTCATCAAATCAATCTAAGACTTACAACTGGAACTGCTTCAGTCACTCTCACATTATACCTTGAGACTGGAGGACAAAAACTGTATTCATTTTCTTCTGAATGTTGTTGGATTAACTTCCCAACTCTATCTCACTTACTTTTCTCACCTAAAAATTCCCACGGATAAATAGGATTCCTACCTTTAAAACTCTTTCAGGACTACCATCTAAAGAACTTGCTTGTTTAGCACATTGCTTATGTTCTATTTGAGCTTTAAGCCATGTTTTCTCAAAAAAATAACTAAAGCTAGTCGTAGACTTAAAATAAATAAAACTATAGATAAAAATGTGCAATCTTTAATTATTAGAGAAAGAGATCACTTGCAACTTGTGTTAGATAGCATGTGCAACTTAATTTTGTACCTATCGAAAAATAGCTCATCTTTTCGTGGTTCTTCAGACAGATTATTTACTCCTCAAAATAGACATTTTTTTAGTGCAACTGTTGAGCAAATACGATACAACTTTAAACGAGCATTTACGACGTTTTTCTTCTACGACGTATTTCTTCTACGACGTATTTTTTCTACGACGTATTTCTTCTCAAGAATCTCATGTAACTTATTGCGGAAAAACAATTCAAAATGAGTTAATTTCTTTATTGGCATCCGAAATTAAAGACAATATTTTAAGACAAGCTAGAGATGCGAAATATTTTAGTATAATTCTAGATTGCACCCCTGATGTCAACCATACTGAACAACTCTTCTTTACATTTTTGTTTGTATTTGAAGCAATGAGATAGAGATTAAATAACATTTTTTAACTTATCAAACTGTTGAAAAATCCACTGAACAATTTTTATTTGAAATTTTACAAAAGTGTTTGGAAGATATAAATTTAAATTTAACTTTTTTGTGAAATTCGATGGGAAAGCTGAATTAAAATGTTTAAAACCAATACGGTACCAAATAGTGGAAATTTACGACGCTTTAGTAACTTTGACTGACACAAACTCTTCTGATATTTTTATTTAACATGAAGCTTATACATTATCTGAACAGATTTTTCTTTTTTTGGGAATGCTTGTTACCTGGTAAAATATTTTAGATCGTGTAAATATTGTTAGCAAATCTATGCAATCTGCAGCCATGGGTATAGCCTCAGTAGTTTCTCTTATGAAATCATGTATAGAATTTGTGACAGAATATAGGGTAACTGGTTTAAAAAATTCTCTAGTGGATGCAAAAGAGTTGGTTGAATCTTTGGAAGTTGAACCAATTTTTACTGAAAAAGATTACGCCTTAAAAAACAAATCTTTGCTTATGAGAGTAAAGTTGAGATTGCAATAAGTCCAAAGAACAATTTTAAGAACAACGTCTTTAATATAGTTTTAGATAAATCCATAGTATTTCTTCAAGAAAGATTTCAACAACTGAATGAATTTTACCAAACTTAGGGAATTTTATATAATCTGAAAAAATTAATTGCAGACAATGACTTACTTAAGTTTTGCAAAGATCTACATTTGAAATTAAAAATGGAAAACAATTTCGATATTAACGGCGCAGAATTATTTGATGAATTGAAATCTGCATCCACCCATTTGCCTAAAGATAATCTTGGACGTCCTCTAAATATCTTGAATCTTATAAAATCCAGTGGATTGCAAAATAATGTTCCAAATATTTCGGTTTCATTAAGAATAATGCTTCACATACCAATAACTGTTGCAAGTGATGAGAGAAGTTTTCGCAAATTGAAGCCAATAAAAAACTATTTACGATGTACTATGAGTGGACAAACGATGTACTATGAGTGGACAAACGATGTACTATGAGTGGACAAACGATGTACTATGAGTGGACAAACGATGTACTATGAGTGGACAAACGATTGAATAACTTAACTATTTTTATCCACCGAAAAGTAAATAGCAACACAATTAAACAAATAAATAATTAGGAAATAATTACGAGGTTTGCCGATTTAAAAGCTAGAAAAATTAACATTTAGTATGGTAATTGGTTTCTGTTTAATTTTATAAATAAATGGTTTATGATTTGTATTTGGAACTTAATTTCCTTAGTTAATTAAACCTCCTTTTGAAAGGAAAAATATTGATATTTAATTTTTCA